TTAAGTAACTATTGAAATTATTTTAAAAAAAATGCAAGACTCATGTCTTTTCTGAGTATCAATTTAAATTTATCTTATTCAGATTATTCTCCTTCTATTCAAAATGCTACACCTTTGTAGCTTGAATGAATCTCAGATAATTAAAGTTTTGAAGCTTTCTCCCCTTTAAATGATATATCATGCATCAAACTCGACAAAACAAGTGTATATTTGTCTAAACTAAAACTATAGAGTTATATAAAATGATGTACTAAAGTATAGATCTAGTAATTTTCGTTTATCATTAAAGCAACTTATCGAAAGACTATTATTATAACCGGTTCTAACCATCGATAAATCACAATAGAAGAAATGTCCTTTTTTTATGATCAAAGCTTAAATGAACGGTTTTATGTTCTGACTGCAAAATAACATTTATTCGCCCTTAAGATACTATTATTTATTGGAAATATCTGATAATGAATGTTCTGAACTATATCAAGTACACTTTACATTTAAGGTCAAGATCTAGTAAATGACTTTAGACTGTCTTTTTGGTGCTAGATCCATTATGACGTCATAATTGTTTTAAGCTTAATTTTTCCCGTACTTTACGGCTGTAAAAGAATTGTGTAGCAAATGAAGGATTTTCAATGTATTCAATTTGAAATCATGTCAAAAGTAACCCCGATATCTATATTCAATTTAATATCATTTTAAAATAGAGGTTAAGAAGAAATGAAAAACCGTTTTCTGAGAAACTGTAGGCAATATTGATACATTTCTTTTATCTGAGATGTAAAAAAACTCCTAAATTTATACCTGACTTTCTTCTTTTTTCATTAAAAATTACAGTTTAAAATATGTTTTTTAGTTTATCAAAAAATTATGTCCCGAAACACCCTATTTTTGCAAGCCATATTTGAAAAGGATCATTAAAAGAACTCGTGTCTCAAATTTGAAAAATTTGTAGGCATCTTTCATTTACTAGATCTTGACCTTAAGTAACAATTACAAAAGCATCGAAGAAAAAATGGTAATTGTCTCGCCTACATTGAACGTACTTTAAAAATCCCGTGAACGCTTTGATATAATAAATGCATGCTAAAAATAGTTTGGTTTGTGCATATTTTTCAAATGTTTTCCTATTTTAATTCGGCTATTAACAATTTCTTTTGATATCAAAATAGTTATCAAAAAGGTTCTCCATTGGTTCATAAAAACAAACTTAATTTTCCAGATACATGTACGTCAAAGTATCCTATAGGGAAATTGAAGTGTTTTATTTATTCTTTTAAAGAGAACTACTATATAATGTGTGCATTTGATGACAGTTTTTTCCTTCTTTTGGGTGAGTTTTATATGATTTTATACACATTAATCTTGGTTTGTTGACCTCTTGAATAAAAAAGTACCATGTGTGTGCCACAATTATTGAAACAACAGCTACAAGATTCCAAAAAAAGGTTTATTTTTCTTTAAGAACGATTTCATCTCGAAGTAGCAAGCTTTCTCGAGAGCAAGCTTTCTTCAGTTTTCAGTTTAGCTGTAAATCTTCAATGAGCCGAATTTTACCAATGCATGAATATTTGAATAGAAATGCTTCTTCACAAAAGTTCTTTCTCGCTTGAACTGGTTGCCATATTGACGAGAATCAACTTATCGGTTTCCATTGAATGTTTCGTCAATTGCAGACTCCTTTTTAACATCTTATAACTAGAACATCGTTTTGGTTTCAGCTGGGATTTGAGGACCAGTTCCTTATTAAACATCTTTTGATTTTCCACGAGTAAATCCGACAGATAGAATTATATTGAGACTCGTTCGTGAAAAGACGTGAAAAGGGGCTTCGTACCCTTTATTCATCGCTTCAATCATCTTTCCTTAGGAACAATGAATAAATAGCCCCAGTAATCCTGGTTTCAAAATAGCCAATCCTATTCAATCAATGGCCTGCTCAACGCTATTCTGTTACTGACTTTAAGGAAATGCTTAATTCACAATTATCTAACATACCCATTATTTTCATACGGTGATGGAGATGAAGTTGTTTGGCTTAAAAATTAATTCCAGTTTACAATGTGTCTTTTTAATGCATCAAGGTTGTATTTGCAATCAATCAAATATTTTGTCTAATTACTTCATTTCCGCATCCCAATTATCAGAAAAATGTTGGTGGGAAAATGTCGAAAAGAGTCTTAATACTTCCTAATACCTCTTTGATTTATTTCAAAAGGAAATATATTCATCAATATCCCTATTACACACATTACTGGAATATTTTCCTGCGCGAAACTTCCCTATAATGTAACAAGGTCGGAAATTGAATTTCATTAAGAAAGAATAAAAACCGCATATGAATGCCTTTTTAGTCCACCTATATCACGATCTCTGTGAAAACATTTTTTCTGGTGATTAGGGGACTTAATCCTGTTTCAAGAGGATGTTGACAATCCGCGCAATGATAACATTGTTGTTAGATACTCTCTGATGGAGCGGAAATGTTACACACACGGGCTTGCATCAGATTTCCCGGTATCAGAAAAGAAATGAGAGAGCGTTAAAGACATGACATCAGTTTACAATTAAGGAAGGACCAAAGCAAGTTGACATTATGATATCTGAGAATATAAATTCTAACAATTTACCATTTACAGTTTATATGACTTCGTACACTTCCGTTAGGGATGTTATCAAGTTTGATATAAAATCCCTGTAAATCAGAATTTATTTGGTTATTTGAGCAACGTATAATAATAGAGTGTTAAATGTAATTTATCATTGTCACTGTTTATGAAAATTTATATATATATTATGCATTGAGATTTTATTCCAACTTGATTACATTTAACAACAATTTTTTCTCTGTTCGAGCAAACAAAAAAAAAAATTGAAAATATAAAACTTTGAACAAGAAAAGTTATGAAGATTTAAATATAACTTTAAAGAAACTGAATCTTAAATTTAGATAAATTTTTCTATGGCACTTTATTCCTATAAGGAAAGACTAGTATGCTGGGAAAGTAGATATATTATTGATTTGATGTTTTTATTCATGTACGTATGCTGTTTATAACATTAAGAAAGAGTGTATAAGAAGCTACTTGTATTTTTCATCCAATGTTGATATCAATCTTCAAATGTACTTACTAGATGCACTTTATTTACAGTTCGTTATCTGCTGCAATTTTATTTTGCATCCTTTAAATCAATGTTGATGAAGTTGAAATCAGGCATTTGTATTTCAGTGGCTTTTGATAGAAATAATGAAGGTAATTTAGTATTTTGCACAATTTTTGATGTAAAATGGTAAGTTAAAGGTTCAGCAACAGCTGCATGTGGAACAAGAGATAAAGTCTCAAAGACAACTATTATGTAATGAATAACGATATTTACAATCTGGGTTAAAGGCATCTTACTTGCTAAAGACTTAACTAATTCCTTAGCTTTATTATTTTTACTTGTTTTTTGTCAGTCCCTGGGATTAAATGAAAGTTCTCATTTACCGTTATGAGTTTGGTTTCTTTTCTTAATGAGGTTTGTTCAATTAACAGACTTTCTAGAAATTTCCATATCAGAATGTGAGGTAAGTGCATGGAGACTCTAAAGGCTGTATAATAAAGAAATTCGCATGTTAATATCTACAGGGGTCGAACAGGTCTTCATTGTTTCGATGCTGTTAAGATGTTCTGTGGGGAATCGAGGGAATTACTGCCTTATATTTTCTTTATCTGGATTTGTGATCTTTCGCTTGAATTCATTTTTTCTCACAGCTTATAAAATATTATTATGTTTCTCTATCATATTTCTTGCACAGAAGTTTTATTTTGATAAAATATTCTATGGATATCTCTCTTCTTTTCAAATTTATTTTTCGATTTTGAAAAATCATAAAGTTACTCAATACTTTCCTTATAGTCAACACAATATTGTAACTATCTAGAAATTTCTAGGTTTCGATATATGCTTAAAGTCTCACATTTGACATAATCTCCCTAGATTTCAAAGAATATGTAGTTGCATTATATATTTTCTAAACATTTGTCTATGGGATTTACATGGGCTTTAGAAAATCTGTAATCAACTTGCCCTTATATTATTATGCTATTATTTGATATTCTAAAAACAAAATGGGCTTAGCGATCTGATATGCAATGTTGCACAGAATACTCATAGTTTCTGATCAAACAAATCAATGAGTAATTACATGTCCTGCTAAAAGAACAAAATCATGCAAAGGATTAGTAGCTCTCCGAGTGCAACACGGAAAAGAACCGTTGATACAATCAAAACCATTTGCATAAGCAAAGCCTATAATCTTGACAATGTTGAAAGAAGTTTTTATGATAAATGGGTGAATACTTATATCGACCTATTCGTAATAGTCCAGTTTAAGATAGTGTTTCTCTGTTACCTCCGCCAGATTTTTTTTCCTTTAGATCCTTGATGTCCCACCTGCTACAAACTATCAACACCAATACGTGAGAAACACAGAAGATAAGCAAACTAACTGTTTAACGTGAACAAAGGTATTCCACGGCAAGGAAATGCTGATATTAACCTAACACCCAAAACTAAATAGAGAGGAAAAATACTGTGCTTTGTTTTCATTTATTTGCCAAATCGATTTCATTTCTTGATGAAATTCGCAACATTGATTTTTGACAATATATATATCTTCCAGAAGATTCACAAGGGAAAAGAAATGTATCTTTGTAAATTAACCCCTGAATGAACCGAACAAAAATAAAAGTATATAAATATATAACTTCAGTCTAAAACATATTTTTGCAATAGAGCAATACCCTAGAATACTATTTCATATTTCCAGAAACTGAGAAGTTGGTGTTTAAACTTGTTCACCATAAGAGGTAAAAGTATTATTCTGTTACATCAAATGAAATTTATAATGCCTTTCAATTTTTAATTTTGTACTACATACATTTTTTTTTATTGTTTCATCGACTTTTTACAAAAAAGAAAAAAAAAAACAGAAAACGAAAAAAAAATCATTGACTTACCGAGAAGTCGGTCCAACATGATCTACTTTCTTCAATTCTTTTTCCTCCCTATTATTCCTAGAATGTGACGCCACACTTAGGGATATTTGAGTCAATTTCGATGCTTCATAAAGTACCCCCTGTCAATCAGCATCCCCCTTTCACGCGATAACAAGATAAATGATTATTGCAGAGTCTTATAAACTATAACAAATTGTATAATAGCGATCTACAAGCATTGAAAATTGTTAAAAGCAAGTAGGAGCAGATAGAGGGAATCGAAAATATTGAAGTGGTAAGCATTGACGGCAGTGTTTAATTAAACCCCCTTTTGTAACGCGGTAAGCCCTTAAATATGTTTACAATCAGTTACAAGTGATGGGGTATTGATTTGGACGACCTGCTGGAATCAGCCACGGAATGAAACCGCAATAGAATCTTGTCTAGATCAGCCCTTTTATTGCTCACGTGTTTTGCTGTTGAATGGCATTGTTTAACTTTGATTAGATACAGTAAGATGCAGACCTTTTGTTCGATAAATATACACACCGTTCATCAATTAGATCCTCCGGCAATTAATTGACGGGGTATCAAAATTCACAGGTACTGTTTCCTTATCGACGTTCTCTGGAGGTAAAGCAGAGAGATGAAAAGCTGGCCTATTATATTTTATCGCAGGATCAATTAATGAAAAATGTTGTCATAAAAAGAGGAAAAAACGACGATAAAAATCGAAGAAGTCCTCTTTAATCAATTTTTATGACATAGTTTTACTTTCAAAATCTTTAATTCAAAGAGGTTTCGGTGAATTATCAAACGGTAATGAATTGTACTTAAAAAGTTTATTTTCATGGGGATCATTTTAATGATTAATTAAAGGAGATAACGATTCATGATTCTCAGAAACTTAAGCTCCATATAATCATGCGTTCATTGTAAAAAAAAAAAACACAACGGAATATTCTTTGAAATCACTTTCTCCTCACTTTGATTGTGTAAAGTTCTCGATAGATTTTGCGAAAAATGCTGAAATAAAGTCACGCTTGCAACCCTTCTCAACTCATCTATGAAAAAATGATTGATGTACTTAAATACTGACGTAAGTTCACTTTTTGCCCTGTCACAAAAGTGGTTTAACTCAACAGCATTTGATTTCAACTCAAAGCCTAAGCATTTATCTGCTTTTTTTATCTTTTCAAGACCAAGTCTAAGCAGCTATCAAATATAATTACATGTAATGTAGAACAACAACAATTAAAAATTACAAGCAATATGGTTTTCAATAAACAAACGCATTCTAGAACATCTAAGATGAAGGAAAACTATTGCTACTGTGTAAAAACCAAGAGGCCTCTTGGTACAATATAACTAATCTTAATTTTCAAAGACTTTTCGTTGTAAGACTTGTAAATCTATTGAATAAGAAATCTACAAAGTTTTTTTTAGTTTAGGTCTTCCAGTAATCAGTTGGAAATCAGATGGGCACTGATTGAGCAACGTTATTAGCAAAGTTATTAGATCTGTTTTTTTGTTCATATAAAGCAGAATTTATTTTTAAAAAAACTTCTACATGAAAAGAAGTCTCTTTCTGTGGCCTTTAATTTCGACATCGAGGTATATTGACGACGTTTTATCATTTAACATTTATTTCCATTCCTACTTTGACTCGATACATCCCATTGAACTCCACAGTTCTATTTCATATTTGGATGTTTTACTGGAGAAAAAACATTGATGGCAAACTGACGACTAAACTTTACGATAAACGTGATGACTTCAGCTTTTCTATCCGTCACTTCAGTTACTTACGTAGCAATATGCCGTTATCACATACATATAGAGTTTATGTGTCTCAGTTGAATCGATACGCAAAAGTCTATTCTACGTACCAGCAATCTCTTAAACAAGGTAGGCTATTGACAAATAAAGTGAAGATACAAGGATATCAACCACCATGTTTAACATCAACATTTTGCAAATTCTATGGTCGATACATAGATCTTGTTTGCATATACAATCTATCGTTAGTCGAATGTTGACTGACGTTTTTTCATATAAGTTGTTAGGCCGTTATTTTCGCACTGAATTGTCTACGGATATTCCGTTTACTCGATCATGAGAAAGAGCACATGGTTGGTGAGACCGTTCGGTAGGGGATGCTTACTCCTCCATGGCACCTAAGTCCATGTTTGTTTTCAGAAATCTGGCTCTGTTCAAAATTCGTACTGTTTAAATGTGACTTCTGAGATTGATCACCGTTTCTATTCATTTCATGTTACAAATATCTTGATAAATCTGTACGATAAATAAAAAATAATTTTTATTAAATGAAATAATATTCATAACAATAAAAAGGCGTTTGGTAAGCGAGGATGAAAACATGCATACACCGTTTTTTATTCAGGTGTATTTTGTTTAATTGCAAAGATTCTGTGCAATATACTGGAGTTTTCTGTATGGATTCTGCATTCTCGTCCTCTCGGACAACACAAACAGGTGTTGCTTTCTACATGGACACATTTTTTTAAAAATGAAATTTGTATCCTATCTCCAATTACTGTTTTCAATTAATGATTAACACATAAATGGAAAGGACAAAAATAAATTACAAAGAATAGGATACAGTTATCTATACTTATACCTCTGACTGAAGATATAGCCGCTACTGTACAGTTGGTTTCACACATAGACAAAGAACACCATCTTAGTCGGTATTCATTTCGATGCCTAATATCAATTTAGTATCATGAACGGACAGGAATATTTTAATTCCCTCCTAAATCTGCTTTCTTCTACTCTTGCATCTTTAAATTATTTTCTGTGTTTGAAAGTTACCCTGCATTAAGAAATCTAGGAGGGGGGGGGGGGTAAATTATCTTAGTAAAATTAATCTTACTACCAAGAAACCATCTAACTTACGATGTACATGAAATTAAGAGTAGATAACTATATTAATATTCTAATTAGCAAAAAAGTTCCCTGTCTGCAGTTTACTAACTTACTTGCTTACTTCTCAATTACTAAGAAATATTTTTTCTTTTTTTTTTTACTTCACACATTGATAAGAGCTATATAATATTTAGATGGAAATTGCTATCGCTATTGCTATTGTAGATGTATATGCATTTGTAATTTCAACTCAGAATTATTCCTTTAAATTTTTTGCCGTTTCTTTTTGTCTTTCTTCATTATTAAATGTATAATTTCACCCACATAACATCAAACTTAGAGATTTGCTCAGTTATTCACCTTGATATATTACTATAATATTAAATTTATGTATCTCAAAAATGTTTTAGATACTATGGTAGAATCCATTTATCTTTTATCCGTGGGATGTCATAATATTTTAGAAAATGTCTTCTTGAATTATCATTTTTACTTTTATCTCATAGCATAATGATTTAAGAAATAGATGATAATTTTATTCTTTCTTGTGTAAGGAATAAACCTGCAAATTGAAAATAATTCTGTCTTTTCATTGTTAGTTTTCCAACAATCAAGATAATATAGTGTATATATACATGTGTATGTTTTTATTCTTATTTGAGTTTCAGTATTCACCCAGACATTTAAAACATAATCAATTACTGTATGTAAATGAAGACATGTATTTTACACTCAAAATTTTCCCCTTTAAATCATGCAACAAACAGACTTTAAAATATTTGTATAGAGCATAATATATTTGGAACTGGATGATAAGAGTGGCAGAAGGTACACTTTTCTTATCATAAGCTTTTGGTAGAATTATGAATCTATATATAGTACTGTAAATTACTTTTTATTCACAAGAACTTTAATTTTGCGTAATTACGCGAGACAATGTGCTCGCGAAAACAATTCTAGAACATATTTTTATTAAATACAGCAATGACCAGAATTCGTGAAAATTTTGTCTCGCTTATAAATTCCCAATGTCTATGTCGCGAAAATAAGGTGTCGCAAAAATATGGGGATCTATAGTATATTTTAAAAGATTCAAACATACAACCTTTTAAGTCCGAAAAGATTCATGTCGATACTTGTTAGGATCAAAAAGTTAGATCCATTGAAGAAGACTACATGTATCTTCTTAATACCCTCGACATTGAATTGTAAGTATTTTTGTCGATATTTCACCGGTTATCTGTCTACAACAATACAGATACACAATTTAGAAATTTATTCAAATTGTTTTCATATTGAAATTGCGGTTTGAAAATGGAAATTTTAATGTTATACTCAGGACAACTGAAATAAAATTTATTTACGACTCACACAAACGGGATAATGCTTGTCCATTCTTTTTAGAATGCTAGTGTTACTCATACAAGATTTCTCCCTACGTATCTCGATTTGCGTGACAAGCGGTCATAACTGTGATGCAATAAAATGAGCATCAAAGTGATCCTAATGGAATTCAAAATTCACAAACGAACAGCTGGCAACGAAAGGATTCTTTCAATTAACAAAAAAAATGTATGATGAAACATATGAACAACAGAACTAAAACTAACTCTCCTATGATTCTTTAAACCATCTTTGAAAAAATGTAAATTCTTACATCTTTATTTCAAATACACAAAGCAGGTGCTTCCTATCATGGGCTGCTTGACATTTTCCAAGTGAACCAAAATGAATTTTTATTTTAGTTTTCATGGTTCAATTAATCTAAGCTGCAACGCCTGTCATTGGGCAAGAAAAAGATAGTGAATGAAAGGGAGATAATTCCACGACATAATTATGTCTTTTTAATATAATTTAACATTAAAAATCGGTATTCACATTATTTTATATCCTGTTGATAGTTTATATGTTTCTGAACATTTTGGTTCCCTAGTAATAAAAGTATAAATGTTTATTCTTAAGGACAAAATGACTTATGTTAATGCTTTTATTACAAACAGAGAATCATTGCTGGGTCCAGTAAATGCTCTACCAAGCCCCTATCTCTACCACTTACAGAAATATTAAATGCTGTAAAGGAGACACTTCAGACGTAATGTACTCAGCATCTTCTAGAAGTGGTGTAAATCAGATGAGGATTCTCAAAAACTCCAAAGTACTTTTTGAAAATATAAAATCGTCATTGTTTTTTTTTCAAAAGTCAGTAACACCGAAACGTAGGACTTTTTATCACTGTATACAATCATTCCTCATGATAAATTAAAAACAAGGCTCTTTGATATCTTGT